AGTGTCAAAATAAAAGGGCCTTGCCTTCGAGGGTGCCATCCCGAAACACCTGGGACGAAAGAGAAAGCAGGTACGAGGATAACCATCAGTAGCAGCGAACATTGCACGCACTGCATCGTGCATCTCGCCCAGTACGGCTGAGACAGTGCCCCTGCGTTCTCTGATAGGGACAGCGCTGCGAGCTTGCACGGGTGCACCAGGACGTCCAGGCGATTCGATCAGCCGAGCCCGCCTCTTTTCAGGGCACCCCCAGCCACGAGCAGGAGTCCCTGGCACGTCACCTGGCGCATCATTTGGCGCGCCCCTGGCGCATCCCATGGTGCGCGCCCCGATTGTCGCCATCTTGATTTCCGAGGTGAGAGCGCAGTTTTTTCTGTGCGGGGGGCTTGCAGATAGATGCCTGGCGGGGGGTGGTAGGGGAGGGGGAGGGAAATCAAGGAGAGGGCGAGGACTACGCCGCCGACAACCAGCAGGGGGTAACACTTCGGCCTGGCAAATCTGCATTGTTTGCCAGGTTCTTTGGTCGCTAATGTGTTAGCAGCGATGTGTGGTCGAGTGGCCGAGATCGACTCGCTGATGGGTGCAAGACTCAGGCTCGTGGCAAAAGTTCCACAACGGATTCAGATCGAGCGCTCGCCTGGTGCGAACGCAGTCGAGGTGGATGGGTGCGTTTGAGGAGGACGAGGAGGAGGATGATGAGAGGAGAAAGACAGGATGATGAAGAGCAGGAAGGATGATAATAAGGAGGAGAAGGATGAGGCGGAGGTGGAGGCAAGGAGGAACAAGACGACGAGGATGATGGGGGCATAGGGAAGGGGGATGCGGAGAGGGTGGGGGGAGATGCACGAATAGGGTGGGGGAGCGACGGGGAGCGCGAAGTGGACGAGACGAGGTAGTCTTGAAAGACCAGGGCGGTCTGCTCTGAACTGCGTTGGCGAGCCTGGCAACAACAGTCTCTGGATTTCCGGCGCAATTCTCTTCGCTGAATCAAAGTTGGCAGCGTCAGCGCCACATCACGTATGCGTGTTCGCACGGATCATGCGGGAGTGGCCCGAAGTCTGCGCAGCACCGTGGCCATGACCAGTCAATATTTTGCCTCCCGCTCGCAGCCGCTGGGAAAGATTGCACCACCTCGCAGATCACAGGCGGTTTGCGCCGCGTTGACGCGGCGGCGACCCCAGCTCATAGGAGGAGGAGGAGGAGGAGGAGGAGGAGGAGGAGGAGGAGGAGGACGAGGAGGAGGAGGACGACGAGGAGGAGGAGGAGGACGACGAGGAGGGGGAGGACGACGAGGAGAGGGAGGAGAAGGAGGAGTCAGAAGGGCAGTTATCGGGTTGGGAGGGCGGGGCTGGGAGAAATGACCAGATCATCCGCATTATCGTGGATGTTGAGTGCGTGCCTCGTGTCTTCCCAGCCCCGTCCTCCCTACACAATAACTGTTTCGGATGCATTTCCTGGGAGGCCACATTCTGATTTTGCCCTGGTCCGAAATCCAGCTTAATCCGGCCTAAGCACGTCTAATTCTGTTCAATCCGTTTTAATCCCGCTTAATCCGGCTTAATCCCGCTTAATCCGGTTTGATCCCGCTTAATCCGAGGCCCACTCCGGCGTAGCTCCCCCCAATGGGGCTTAAACCTCCTTGGTTCTTCCGACGAAGACCTCCCAGCATTTGCCTCCTAAAACTGTTTCCTCGAGGAGTTGCCAGTGCCGCTGCCCTTTCTTGGTTCGTTTTTTTTTTGTTGGGGGGTCTCCCAGGAGAGGCCTCCCGTCGCGTCGACGGGACTCGTCCGGAAGGTGTGGTCGGCACGCGCCCGGAGAGAGGTCCAGGGATGGGGCGGCATCGGTGCTCGGATGGGGCCGGATCTGGCGGTGTCTTTCAGGTGGCCTTCACGTGCGATCGCTCGACAGACACACATAAATGTGTGTATATATATATATATATAAGTATGAAGGTTACTTCGACGCTAAAACGTATGGCTCACCACACCGCGAGATCGGTCCAGGCCTCCCGGATGGGGTCGGAGCAGGTGGCGTCGGAGGATCGCGCCGCATCGCCGATGCCTCGCCGATGCCTCGCCGATGCGGGTCGATGTGGAGTCAGATGTGCTTCGCGTCGACGTCTCTGAGGCATCGCCGACGTCGACGACGCATCGCCCGTGCATCCCCGATGCATCGCCGATGCCTCGCCGATGCGGCGCGATTCTCCGACTACTCCTATCCCATCGAGGAGGCCTCTCGTCTTTTTTCCCCATATCCTAAGACTGGGGTTCTTGTTATTGGCAGACCGCTCCGGAGGAACACAGGAGAACAGGAACACCCTCACCTCCTCTCACTCAGACCCACTCAGACTCACTCATCACGCAGACTTACTCATCACGCAGACTCACTCTTCACTCAGACTTACTCATCACTCAGACCCACTCATCACTCAGACTCACTCATCACTCAGACTCACTCATCGCTCGGATTCAGTCATGACTCAGACTCATCACTCATCACTCAGACTCACTCATCATTCAGACTCACTCATCACTCAGACTCACTCATCACTCAGACTCACTCGTACTTGTACTCATACATTCACTACACTCATTCAGGTCCACTCATCGGATGACTCACGCACACTGATGTTGAGGATTTGTCAGGCGATTCGGTTGTCTCAGCACTCCTGAGGAGATCGGCGGGGGGGTATTTCACGGGGTTCCGTTCGTGGAATTTTGTGGGGATGTCTCCGGCGGTTTGGCCATTTTCTCTTCCAGCATGTGTCGTTTTCGGAGCAGATTTGGAGGATGTCTCAGGCGATTCGCTCGTCTCAGCACTCTAAGGGGGGCGGCGGGGAGGTATTTCACGAGGTCCCGTTCGCGGAATTTTGTGGGGATGTCTCAGGCGGTTTGACCATTTTCTCTTCCAACATGTGTCGTTTCCGGAGCAGATTTGGAGGATGTCTCAGGCGATTCGCTCGTCCCAGGACTCTAAGGGGGGCGGCGGGGGGTATTTCATGGGGTCCCGTTCGCGGAGTTTTGTGGGGATGTCTCAGGCGGTTTGGCCATCATCTTTTCCAACATGTTTCGTTTTCGGAGCAGATTTGGAGGACGTTCGCGCCCAGTTTGCGGGGATGTCTCAGGCGGTTTTGCCGTTATGCTGCTGGGCATCTGTCGTTTTCGGAACAGTTTTGGGAGGATGTCTCAGGCGATTTGTTGGTTTCAGCACTCCAAAGGAGGAGGAGGAGGCGGAGGAGGAGGAGGAGGAGGCGGAGGAGGAGGAGGAGCAGGAGCAGGAGGAGTAGGAGGAGGAGGACGAGAAGAGAAGGAGGAAGCGAGGAGGAGGAGGAAGAGGACGAGGAGGAGGAGGAGGAGGAGAAGGAGGACAGCATGAACACAGTAGGAGCAGAAGCAGGAAAGGGGATGATGATGATGATGATGATGATGATGATGATGATGATGATGATGATGATGATGATGATGATGATGCTGATGATGATGATGATGATGATGATGAGGAGGAGGAGGAGGAGGAGGAGGAGGACGTGGGCAACTCGAGTAGCCAGGGCCAGACGATCGAGTTTCGATGTTCCAAGGCTTTAGGTTTTACTCAAACCCTTCCGCCTCACTCTCCTTCGCTCTCCGCTCTCCTTCACTCTTCTGCATTCAAACTCACTCATACTCAGACTCAGTCACACGCAGGCTCACTCGCACTTAGACTCGCTCATATCCATACTTACACTTACTCACACTCAGACTCACGCTCAGAACCACTCATACTCAGACTCGCTCCCGCTCAGACTCCTTATCCTTCGGTCCGCTCCAATGCAGACCGACTCACACTCAGACTGCCTCACATCCATACCCAATCACACTCGGCTCACTCGCACTCAGATTCATCAACACGCACTTTTTCTCACACTCGGACCCACTCAAGCCCAGACTCACTCATGCTCAGACTCATCATGCTACGATCCGCTCAATCACAGACTGGCTCACACTCAGATTCGTCCGTACTCAGACCCACTCGCACACAGACGCACTTTCGCTCATATTTGCTCACACGCATACCTACTCAAACCCAGGCTCAATCGCACCCAGGTTAACTCACAGTCAGAATCAGTCGCTCTCAGATTTGCTATTGGTCGCACTCATGCTTGCAGACTGTGGGAATGTCTCGAGCGAGCGGTTCGCCCTCGCACACAGGCGCTCATTGACAGATATCAAGAGAAAGACGTACCAAAATAATGAGATGCACATATGGGGAGCCCCGCGTCGAGTAATTCCCCCCACCGGCGCGGGCGTTCGGGGGTGGAACGCTGCGGGATGCATGGGTTTGGTCGGCATCGAAAGGTCCGCGCTGCCGCATAGCTGCCATCGTTCAAGGTTGAGCGGGCGGGTGGCACTGGGGAGTGACGGGAATAGGAGATGAAGCGAAGGGCCCGACAAGGGGCCCTGTAGGGGGTGAGTAGGGGGTGAATAGGGGGTGACTGGGATAGGTGGTGAAAAGGGGGTGACTGGAATAGGGGGTGAAGAGAAGGGCCCGAAAGGGGCCCTCGAGTGCCCCTTATGGAGGCCCTTTCTGGGCACCTGCTGGCTCCGAAAGGGGCCCTCGAGTGCTCCTTTCGGGGCCCTTCTCATTCCCCCCCAGTTGGTCGGGGGTGGACAGGCCTCCTACCCTGACGCGTCGAGTAGTGAATTGGCCGTTTTCGGTTCGCGGGAGGGCATCGCGGCCGTCGTTTTTGCGGGTCCAGGTCCGTCGGTTTCGGCCCCAGGCCGTTTTATCAAAGGGAGGTTTGCTAAAGGGAGGTTCGTCCACCGCCGATTTAGGTCACCCCCCAGTACCACCCGCCCGAGTTGAACGATCCGCGCGGTGGCAGGAGCCAACGCCGACGACGAGGCAGCCTTGGCAGAGAGCGCGCCGCAGTTTCCGGCAGAGAGGCACCACCGGCTGGGACCATGTGGCCCAGCCCACCCCCAGCGCCCAACGTCTCGACGAAGATAAACGGCACAAACATAAATCGTTGGTGGCGCTCCGCGCGGACTTCTTGGATCCGCGCTGGGCCGTTTTGGCGGCGCCTCCGGCGGGGGGTCCGGCGTGGATGCAAGCAGTCCTCGCGGGCCGTGATAAGTTGATGTGTGTCGGTGCTGTATTTTTCTTTTCTCCTCAGCGTCGGCGCCTGGGGCTCCGCGCCCGCGCGCGGCGCGGGGATGGCGGCGAAGCCCGCCAAGGGCTCCTCGGTGCTCGGCGAGATCTGGGCGTACCGCCTCGACGTGGACATCGAGATCCGAGAGGGCTGCGCCTGTGCCGCCGGCCGTTCCCGGCGGAGCCATCTCGGGGATGCACCCCGGGGGGTGTCGGGGGGGCTCTCCGGTTCCTCCTCCTCCTACTCGTCCTCCTCCTCTTCCTCCTCGTCCTCCTCCTCCTCGTCCTCCTCAGCCTCCTCCTCCTCCTTCTCCTCCTCCTCCTCCTCCTGCTCCTGCCTCTTCCTCCTTCTCCTGCTCCTGCTCCTCCTCCTGCTCCTGCTCCTCCTCCTCCTCCTCCTCTCCTTCTCCTCCTCCTCCTCCTCCTCCTCCTCCTCCTCCTCCTCCTCCTCCTCCTCCTCCTCCTCCTCCCCACCTGGGGGCCTCTTTGGGCTTCGTGGGCCAGCTCTGTATCACGTCGGGTAATCCTGGGGACCCTCGGGCCAAGAGCGCAGCCTGTTGCGCCCCCCTGGGGGGCTGGTGGATTCAGGGGTGGATTTTGTTGTTTGCGACGATCACGGCAGTGTGGCTGTTCCTGCTCCCGTGCTACTGCGCCGGGCTGTCCTGGGCACCCTTCCGCAGGTTCTCTTCGTGGCTGCATCGGCGTCTCTGGCACTTCTACCTTTTTATGTGCTGCTTCAACGCTGCGTTCATGGTCCTTGTGATCAATTGGCTTCCAGATTGGACGGCCGGCAGCTACGTCGAGCACCTGGCCAGTTTCACGAGCTTCATGTTGGTGAGCATGCTGCAGTTTTCGGGGTCGATTGCAGTGATCGTAGGCTTCTGCGTCGCAGCGGCCTTCAAAGACCGCATCGCGCTGCTCCTGGGCATTGACCACAGAAGCTTTTTGAAGTGTAAGTTGAGAGACTGCTTAACTTGTTGGACAAGCGCGCGGTTCCAACCCATCGAGCTTCTCGTTTGGAAAGTGGAAGACTTGCCTTCAGAAGATATGTTCTCCGCTAATAATGTGTTCGTGGAATTCTTTTTGGGTTTCAACGAGCCTATGCGGACGCGTGTCCACAAGAGTGCGGGTAGCAGGTGCGTTGTGAAGCAGACGATGCAACTAAATTTCGACGAGGACGATGATGAGGACATGCTCACGATCTTCGTTCGGAACCAGAAGGTGGTCGGGTCAGCCGAGCTGGCCCGAGCTGAGATCAAGGTGGACAGGCTGAGAGAATTGCTTCATGCCCACGCTCCAGATCAGCGTGTAGAGTGGGATGAACTGCAATTTGAACGCGTGAACCTCATACCACGTGGTACCATCTGGTTGTCAGCAAGGCCTCTAGTGGAGGATGGGTTTCTAGAGGAAATGCAGTCGTTCAACGACTTCACCACTTGCTGAGTAAGTGTCGTCCGGAAGCACGTATGTCACACGTACCCGAAAGTTTCACTCCTAGCGCCACTTCCCCTATGTATTCTTACGACGTGCATGTTCCTCTTTCCGCTTCCGCGACGCGCCCTTACACTTCCTGTGAGATGATTGCCATTCCTGGAGCCCTCTAGGAACACGCTGGGAATGCATGGGGCACATCTCGTAATTGATTGGCGAAGCCCAGTTGCCACAACCTTATTACGGGCACCAGTGTATTTCGCTCCCGAGTGCCATCACATAAGTGTATCCTCCTCTCTGCTCGACGTGTGTGGCCATTTTGGCTCAGGCGCTGGGCCGATCTCGAACAACGGTCGGGCGCACATGCTGGCTTTTGGGCCGTGTGCCCTCGACGCCGCGTTGCGCGGCGGCGGGTCAGCAACGTACTGCATGGGTATGGGCTCATCGGCCCGCGGCTGGCGCTGTAGGCGTTGAGCATGAGTTCGAGGAAGCGTTCCTGCAGGTGGCAGCGGCAGCGGACATCAGTGTGGAGGAGGCGCGGACCCCGCTGCCAGAATTTGCGCACCAGGCGGTGGACGAGGAACCGTTGCAGAAGCGGCTACGTGCGATCCACGGTGGCCCCGAGCAAGCTACGCTGGAGGACGCCGTGATGAGCCACTTGGCCGTGTGTGATCAAGAACGGCGTGAGGCCGTTCCCCCGCCAAGGGCTCGCGTGATGGCAGGGACCCGCTGCTTTCGGAAGAGTCGCGCCGCCGCCAGGGAGAGTCGCGGCGAGCTCGCGAGCCTGACAGTGGGCTCGCTGAAGGTTCCGTCTGCTCTTGGCTGCCCAGCGAGATGGAAGCTTCCTCGCCAAAGGTGGCGCGGCCCTGCGCAGGACCCGGGCAGGAGAGGGTGCCCGATGGCATCGCGGCCCGCGCGCGCCTCAACACGAGGAGGCCGTGCGTGCGCGCCGGCGAGACGCTGCGCGGGTGGCTCCTGCGGGCGCACAGCGTCCCTAGGCCGAAGTCGGCGGTACACGAAGGATTGCAAAAAAAACGAAGGATTGCAAAAAAAACAAGGATTGCACAAAAAACGAAGGATTGCAAAAAACAAGGATTGCAAAAAAATGATTGCCAAAAAAACGAAGGATTGCAACAAAACGAAGGATTGCAAAAAGGTGTTTTTGCAATCCTTCGTTTTTTTGCAATCCATCGCCTGGTCACGTGCGCGCCAGGGCTGCCGAGCCTTTGGGGCCGACTGTGCCCGGCCAGCCAACTCCGCGCCCCGGCCGGGGCCGTTGCGCGCGGCGGGCGTCTGCCCGAACGCTATAGGCTCTCCGCTCGGCCCAGGGTCCAACAGGCCGCCACGAGCGCGGGAATGTTTCTCGGCGCGGGATTTTTTTTTATATATATAAAAAAAAACGAAGGATGGCAAAAAAAACGCAGGATTGCAAAAAAACGAAGGATTGCAACAAAAAAGATTGCAACAAACCCTTCGAAGAAAAGGTTTTTTTTTTTGTTTTGCAATCCTTCGTACAAGGGCCAGGCGATGAGAGCGTGTTCGTTCGCCCGTGCGTTCGCCGGGGCCCTGGAGCAGTTTGTCGCGGACGACGGCCTCGCGGGGGGCCTGCGCGGGGCGTCGTGGCTTCGCTCGCCGCGTGCAGATTTTGGCGGTGCTGCGCTACGACGACGACTGCTGGCTCTCACCTCGGCGCCACGCCTTCGCGGGCGGCGATCTGACGGCCGCGCTGGTACGTGCGCAGACCAGCTGCACAGGGCGCAAGATGCCAGGGCTGCCGTTGTGCGAGTCCCGTCGTGGATGAAGACAGGTTATCTCCCGTGGCGTGAGATCGTAAACTTCGAGAGGGACTGCTTCCTGCCGCGTCGCGACGACGCTAGCCAGGAAGTGGTCCACAATATCCGCCAGATGCTCCGAAGCGGCGGTGGCTGGCCAGGCGCTGCTCCGGAGGACCCTGGCGCCAGCCTTGAGGGGCGAGGTCGCGCTGCCACTCCTCCCTGAGGAGGTCGTGGGTTTCTGAAGAGAGCATTTGGAGCGAACGACAGTCCCATCGGCCTTGGCGGCGATGGGGGTCCTGAAGAACAAGCGCGAGCACGCGGGCAGGTGGCGCCAGAGGGCGCGGACACCCGCGCGAGGACGTGCCGCGCCGTCGCCTCCAAACTTCAGCAGCAGTTCGCGGTGGCGCTGCGCTCGGCCAAGGCCTGAGGGGAGCTGGGCGAGGCAGCGGCCATCTCCGACATAGCCAGCCGGCTGGCGTTACGGAAATCTTCACCGAGCGCGAGGCCACAGACGTAACGGTCAGGTTCTGCAAGGGCCTCCGCTGCGGCGCCACATGGGGCTCCGCGCCCGCGGCGCCTATAAGCGACGGGATGACGTGGGGGTGATCGCCAAAGCCTACGATGGCGACGCCAGACGCCGCCGTCGAGGCCGAAGACGACAAGGCTGGCCAGGCGGAGACTCCCACGAGGATCGCCGCGCCTGCGGAAGACAGCGTCGTGGACGGGCTGGAGGCAGCGAAACTAAGAAACATCGACTTCAGGGACGGGACGCAGCAGCCCCCGCCCGACGGTACGGACCTCGAGGAGGCCCGCAAGTACCTCATCGTGTATGCGAGGAAGCGCAAGATGGCCATTCTCCATAACCTTGGAGGCTGGGGCTGGGCTTCTGGCCGGTCGCCGCTGGGCTCGGTCTACTCCGACGAGATCCCAGACCCCAAATACATATGACATGGTTTGCCAGAGGCTCTGGCGCCTCATCGTGGACCAGGTGGTGGCGCCAGATCCTGGAGCAAGGACGGGAGCCCTAGGGTTCACCGAGCTCCGAGAGCTTCAGAAGGCCCAGCGAGGTTGACCATCAAAAAGCGGGTCCAACAGGGTCGACCAGGTGGTCCGCGCGCTGTTGTTCGCGAGGACCCGGAAGCTCCGCTAGAGGGCGAGCCTCAAGACGACGGGATCGGCAGACAGCCAGCGCGCGGTCCCTGCGCGGTTTCCAGTTGCCGTTGGCGGTCTTTCTCGTCGAACTCACGGAGGGCTGAAATCGCGCAAGGTGTCTCTGGGCTTGGATGGGCTCCCGCGCGAAGAGGATCAGGAGGCAGACGACCTCGGCAACGTGAGGACGACGGGCTTCTGCGAGTCCCGAAGTGGCACGTGCTCGAAGTGGCGCGCGCCCGACTGAATGAAGCAGGCCTTCTAGAAGCTCTTCGACGCGATCGTCGAAAAGGAGTGGGCGGCCGCCGCGGGGACGACCGCCTGGGGAGGCGACCGCGGGCACCGCGGCCGACTTGTGCGACCAGATCCGCGGTGAGAGCTCCGCTCGGGTACGCCTCGGAGGGCGTCGTGCAGGTGGAGCCAGATCGTGACGAACGTCGGCAGTCTAGGGGTCCCACGCGACCCCCCTGGACGGGGGCCCGTGGGCGGCATCGTCCATCGTCCCCCACACGGGGGGGCGCTGGCGGCGCTGCGGGGGCGCGGCGGGGCGGGCCCCGCCGCCCATATCAGAGGGAGAGGAGGAGGGGGGGGGAGGAGGAGGAGGAGGAGGAGGAGGAGGAGAGGAGGAGGAGGAGGAGAGGAGGAGGAGGAGAGGAGGAGCAGGAGCAGGAGCAGGAGCAGGAGCAGGAGCAGGAGCAGGAGGAGCAGGCGGCGTCGGACTGCGAAGAGAGTTTCGGCAACGTCGGGGCCCCCCCACGCGGCCCGTCGGGACTGGGGCCCGGCCGCGGGGTGACGGCGTGCTTTCGGGATAGCCCCTCCCCCTCTCCCCCTCCTCCTCCTCCTCCTCCCTCCTACTCTCCTCCTCCTCCTCCTCCTCCTCCCCTCCTCCCCTCCTCCTCCCCTCCTCCCCCTCCTCCTCCTCTCCTCCTCCTCCTCCTCCTTCCTCCTCCTCCTCCTCCTCCTTCTCCCCCACTTTCCCGAGGGCGCCGCCACGGCGGGAACCCCATTCCTGCCCGCGGACCTCCATCTCTCCGCTGCGGGCGGGGGCGGGGGTATTTATTGGGCGGGAGGGGCGCCTCGAGCGCAGTGGCTCTATGGAGAGTGGGTGGGGCCTCGAGATCACGCCCGCGCTGCAATCCTGGTGCGCGTGCGGTGCGGTGCCGACGGAGGCGTTGGTGCTGGATGCTGGTGGAGTGCACGAGCGAGGTGAGGCGGGCTCCTTCACCGTGCCCAAGTGAGCCCCCTTGCCCTGGCTGTCCGCCCCGGGGCGGGCGCCCCCCCCCCCCCCCCCCCCCCGGGTCGAGCGAAGGCGGGGCGCCAAGGCAAAAGGCGGGGTCCACGGTGAAGGAAGATGGGCCCCCCCCGGCGCTTGCAGCGTGCGGGGGGGGGATCCGCCTCCTCACCTCGGGGCCTCCCTTCCCTCCCAGCGCCTCGCTCCCATCGCGCGGGGGGCATTCATGTCCTGGGAGCGGCATGGGCCCTGAGCTAGGGCACCCGAATCCGGCACCCGTAAAAGAGGCGTCTCCGTCATTCCCTGCACCCTTTTTCAGCAATCGCACCGCCATTAGGGCTCACCGACCCCGTGTACCAACACGCATGTCTATCCTGCTGTCTGCCCAACGTCGTGGCCATTGGGGCCCAGACGGCCTCTCGATTTTGCAATGGGGCATCGAATTCCTGGGAGTGGCAGGGGCCCTGAGCCAAGGCCCCCCGATCCGCAACCCGTACCAGGAGGCATCTCTGTCATCCAAAGCGGTCCCTTCACAACCATCGCTTCGCTATTGGGCTCATCGAGGATATTTCTGGTTCCTTAAGTCTGTTGTCACTTGTGTTGGCATCCATCCTGCTACTTCATCTGTTTTTCTTATGCCCCCCTATCCTTACTTTTATCCCTGGGAGTGCCAGGGGTCCTGAGCCAGGGCCCCCCGATGCGCAACCCGTACCAGAGGTATCCTTGTCATCCAAAGCGTTCCTTTCACAACCATCGCTTTGCTATGGAGCTCATCGGGGATAGTTATCGTTCCTTAAGTTTGTTGTCGCTTATGTTGGTATCCCTCCTGCTGCTTCATTCCCCCATCCCTACGTTTCGTTCACAATCCACGACGCCCTGTTCTTTCTCCCGTTCCTTTCCCCATCCACCCGCATCCTATTCACTGTCACGGTGCAGCGTTCGGTGTCTCACTCGCTCCCTGCGGGGTGCCTTTGTTCTCGCTTCTGCGCGGCAGGCTTCGCTAGCGGGATGGTTCTGATGTGCGCCCGTGCGGCGCGCTCAGGAAAATGCTTCTCGCCCCGGGAGAACATATGTGGTTGCAGGTTCAGGACTGGAAGCTGGCCGGACAAGTGCGGGAACCAGCGCGAGTAGGAGCAGAGCCCGGCGGACGCAAATTGAAGGCATCGTGTTTTGAGGACCGTGACGCTTGAGGGCGCAGCTGTTGGCAGGCAAAGTTTCTGACACCACGATTCATTGAAAAGGCTCACTTTTTTCTTTGAAGGCGTACGTCTCTCTTCAATGCATGTGTGTTTGTCGGTTATGTTTCCTCGATCGGGATCCCGTTCTCAGTGAGTTTTTTCTTTGCGATCAGTCAGGCATGTGTTTCTTCTGCCGTTCTCTAGTCTACAGTCAACCCGAATAGTAAGGATGGGCAACCGTCCCAAGGGTACCTTTGCATCGTTGCCTCCTCGGCCGATCCTTGTCCACTTCCGTTGGCCGCGCCTCGCTCGAAAAGCTTCGACGTTGGCCTTCCAAGGCCCTTGCATCCTCATCAGGCATCCTCACTGTGCCGGTTGACGGTATTCAGCGGGCCCGCGGCCCCGCGGGGGTGATGCAGGGGTGGGTTGCGGGCCTCGGCGCCGGCACGTCGTGGCAGCCGGATTTCTGCAATCACAGGTTACCGCGAGCTGTTTGGTTGATCTCTGGCGCGTAGCGGTCGCTGCACGGGCCAGAGCCCCCACCACCCCTCCCGGGCAATGGCGGCGGTCGTGCTTACAGGGGGGAGGGGGGGGGCCTGAACCCACCTCTCTCCACTTGTTGGTGCTCGCGCGCGTGCCACATCAATCGCAGCGCACCCCTGCCCCGACGTGCCGCACCCCGCCCAAGCATGACCTCTACCGGGGGCCCCAACCTCCCCCCCCCCTGGGTAACCACCTCTACCAGAAATATCATTTTGAAAATAAAAGTCTCGAATATACTGTGGTCTCGGCGCTTTCAAGTGGTCGGGGGCCAGGCCAGTGAAAGCGGCTGCGCACTTGGGCTAGGCTACCGCTCGGAGCCCATCTACCGGGACTTGGCTTTCAATCTCACGCCTGCACAGAAGTTGTTTCCAGCTAGGTCACTCAGAGCTGGCCGTGGTAGCTCCACGGTCGCCTCAAGATATGTACAATGGCTTGAGAAGCGCGATCTGACGCATCTTTCGGCATCGTTGATTGACATTCGTGTCGTGACCGCTGGCCCTCTGGGAGAGTCCGTCTGGACGACAGTGTTGCACTGCCCTCACGTAGACCCCGCCCACCCTATTTGGCTCAAGCGCTGTCCAACGGGAAGTGCCCAGCACACCAGCGTCACGCTCAGAGCGTTTCTGCGCCTCCCCCTGGGGGACGACGGGGTCGGGAGGGGGAGGCCTCAGGGAGGCCTCGTGGACGGGATGCCTCGGAGGCTTCGGAGGGCCTCGCGAGCGAGAGCGGGGTCGCTGGAAGCGGGCATGGCGAGGGCTCCCTCCTCCCGCTGGCGAGCGGCGCGCACGCGTGGAGCGCTCTCCTCCCTCCTCCCTCCCCCCCTCCTCCTTCTCCTCCTCCTCCTCCTCCTCCTCCTCCTCCTCCTCCTCCTCCTCCTCCTCCTCCTCCTCCTCCTCCTCCTCCTCCTCCTCTCTATCTGTCTCTCTCGGCCTCTGGGTCCACCGGGCGCTGCCACCCGCCCCCCCACAGAGGGCGGTCGCCCGTGCGGGGGGTGATCAAACTAATGACCCCTCCCCTGACGACACCGTATAGTGCGCCAGGCGGAGCCGGCGCCCGCTGGCGGGCCGCGAGTCTCCTCCTCTTCCTCATCCTCCTCCCCGCGAGTCTCCTCCTCTTCATCCTCCTCCTCCTCCTCCTCCTCCTCCGCCTCCTCCGCCTCCTCCTCCTCCGCCTTCCTCCTTCTTCTCTTTCCCTCCTCCTCCTCCTCCCTTCTCCTCCTCCCTCCTCCCTCCTTCCCTCCCTCCTCCTCCTCCTCCTCCTCCTCCTCCTCCTCCTCCTCCTCTTCCCTCCCTCCTGGCGCCCCCGGGGGGCGTTGGGCCCACAGAGGGGGGGCTCCGCTGCTCCCCCCACCCCGCGGGGGCGCGCGCTGCGGCGCTGCTGGTCGCAGTCCGTGTGGCAGTGCGGGCCTCCGCCCCGGTGGCAGCGCTGCGGGCTGCAGTCGTGGCGCTGCTGCTGGTCGGAGCTGTTCGGGCGAAGAGAGCCATGCGCACGCACGGGTCCCGACCAGGCCCATCCTCGGCCCCTGGGTCGGTGCATATGCCTTCCTGGCCAAGGCAGGAGGGCGTATGCACCGATCTTGGGCTCAGGATGGACCTGGCCAAAATCGGTGTATGTGCATGGCTCTTGATCCTGAAGTTGTGGTGCACGTGGCGCTGCTGCTGGTCGCTGGGTAAGGCGTCGGGCGGGGTGCGGGGTAGGGCGTCGTTGTGGTGCTGATAGCGGTGCCGCTGTTCACAATCGCGGTGCGGGTTGCGATTCTGTTTGTCGCGGTCGAGATGTTGGTGGTGGTGTTGGTCGAGGTTTTGGTAGTGGTGCTCTTGATCGCCGTCGTGGCGCTCGTCATGGCGCCGCTGGCCGCAGTCCCTGTTGCTGCTGCTCGTCCGTCGATGTGGAGCGTCGGGGTCAGCAGTCGTGCCATGCTCGGAAGCAATGTGGGTCTGCGGGCCGAGCTGGCTCTGGTGCTGGAGTGTGTGCCATCTTCGATGATGGCATTGGTGGTGGGGGTAATGCTGGCGTCGGTGCTGGGGTCGATGCTATGATCGGTACTGTTGTCGATGATGACGTCGGTGTTTGCTGCAGTATTGGGGCCACTACTGTCTCCAGTGCTGGTGCCGATGCTGGCGTCGTTGGTCGCGTCGATGCTGAGGGCGATGTTGGCGAAGGTGCGGATGTCGATGCAGCCACCTGTGCTGGAGTCGGTGCTGTCCGCCGTGCATGTCGATGCTAGCGTCGATATTGGCGTTATTGATTGCGTCGGTGCTGGAATCGGTACTGATGTCGATGCTGGGGTCGTTGCTGGCTGCCAGGCTTTGGTGAGCATAGCCTTTGATGCTGGCGTCGATGCTGGCGAGATTGATGTCGGGGGTCTGGGATGCTGGAGTGAGTTCTGTTGTCGCTGGCGTCGCTGCTGGCTGCAATGCTGGAGTCAATTCTGCCTTGGAAGCTAAGGTAGATGCGTGGGTCGATAATGAAGTGGGTACTGGCGTCGATGCCAGAGTTGATGCTGGCGTTGGTGACGATGTGATGTCTGGCTCCTGTGCTGGGATCGCTGCCGTCTTCGCTGCTGGCGCTGACGTTGGGGTCGATGCTGGGGTTCGGAACTTGCGTCGGTGCTGGGGCCGGTACTGAGGTCGATGCTGACGCTATTGTTGGCTGCGGTACTCGCTTCTCTACCGCCTTCGGTGTTGGTGCCATTGCTGGGATCGGTGCTGGCGTCGCTACTGACGTCGCTGCGGGCGTCAGTGTTGACTTCAGTGCCTGAGTCGATGCCAGTGTTGATGCTGGCGTCGATGCTGGTTTCGATGCTGTAAAAATTAATGGTGCTTCTGATGCTGCTGTCGGTACTGGCGTCAATGCTAACGTTCATGCTGGAGGCAAGGTTCGTGTCGATGCTGAC